CTCCTCAAACTCCTCCTCCCCCTCCTTCTACTGATCGTTCTCCCCGTCCTCGGTGTACATCGTAGGCGAAGCAGCCTGCAATTTGCGCTCGTGGATAATCCAGCTTCCCTGGTGCAACCCGGTCTGGTTGTCTCGCCTCCCTGCTTCTCGCCAAAGGCTTCATGTTTTCTGACTCCGCGAATCGCGCAGCATCTTCCACGACTTATCCAGATCCCTCTGGAGCTCAAGACGAGTTCTCGTTTCTTTGGGCTCACATCGGATTATGACTCCAACCGACTTACCAAGACATATTCCAGGAAGTGGATTTTGGGAGAGCCTTCAATCCCTTGGGGGCCATTCTTGCCATTTCTACTGCGACTGGACGGCACACGCCTGTCCTGTCAGCTTCAGTTTCCTTCTCCCTCCTCCTTCTCCTCCTCCTTCTCCTCCCCTTCCTTCTCCCTCTCCTCAAGATACTCCTCCTTCTTCGCCTCCTCCTCCTCCTTCTCCTCCTCCTCCTCCTCCTCATCCTCATCCATCCCCCCCCTCCTCCTCCTTCTCATCATCATCCCCCCTGCCTTTCAGCTTGTTCCACAGGCATGCAGATCTGGGGTGCTTTCTCGTCCTTCTCCCTTCCCCATGCTCCTCCTTTCCCCCTCCTCTGCTTCTTCCCCCCTCCTTCCCACTTATGAAAAAGAAACCATAATCGCTTCGTCTCCCTCCTCCCTCCTCTTCCTGCTCCCTTGCCTCCTCGAGATTCCAGTCCTCACATGTTTAACAAATTCTCGGACGTTTTAGTCAGAAGGATTACAAGGGCCACTCAGCGAGGTCAGGCCGGATTGAGGCCAAGATTTCGCGGAACCAAACAGGATGATGCCGGAATAGTGAAGGCATTGGACAAGGAACCCTTGGATAAGGAACCCATGATCTGGAAGCCTGTGGAACGCCATTCCAGGCTTGGACATGAAGATCACCGCCGCCCTCATCAGAGAAGGAATCCCCCAGGGTCTGAAGCCGCCTGGATTCGGTGGATTTTGAACCCCCAACTGTACGCTGCATCTCGGTGGCGTGGGTGGGTTCGGATTTTCTTGAAACCCCCGATGTGCACTGCATCTCTCCGCTCCGCCTCTGGTCACATCGTCGACGATGCTCGTTCGATGCTGCACCGTGGGCAATTCGACCCCGAGCGCCCATATGGGGGCATTACGCCTAGCCTCTTTTTCTTTTCGCCTGAGACTCGATCCAAATCAGCTCCTCCACGAACTCACTCACCGTACCGGCACCGATGGCAAATGCATCCTCCAAAAGGGTGGTAGCCGAGCGTGTGGCACACGTCTCTCGCTCAAAGCGTGGTCGCGAGGGCGCGGCGCGCCCGGCCTGAGTGCGAGCGCGTACGGCATGGCGAAGTCCGAGGAGAAGATGTTTTTGCTCCGATGGTGAGGGCAGCACACACCATGACGAAGGAACAGCACACACACACCCATACCCATATGGGGGGTCGTTGGGAAGAGGGCTGGCTATGAGTATGTGTGCGGGTTGCCGGACCCTGGGGAACGCTCCCGTTCGAGCGGGGACCCCCATCTGACAACACGCACCCATAGCCCTCTCGCCGGAGAGGGAGGGGGGATTATGGGTGTGTGTGTGTGTGTGTGTTGTTGTTTCGTCAAACCAGCCGCTCTACCCACCACTCCCAAGCTGGTTCTCCAGGTGGCCTGGCTGGGGGTGGGGGTGGGTTTTTGAAGCTCTTGGGGGCCATAAGACACCACCGCCCAGCCAGGACCCCGTGGTTCACCAGGTCGGCATTGGCGGTCCTGGCTAGGGGTGCGAGTGGTTTGTGCTGCCCTCGGATGGATGGCCAGGTAGTTCCAGTCCACCTCAGCGGAGCACAGCAGAAAGGAAGAAACAATTGCACAAACATAAACTGTCGGAGCTCGACGCTGCTTTCTCGGATCTGCGCTGGACCCTCCTCCCTGGCGCGCGGAGCTCGCCAAGGGCGGAGCTGGAGGCGCAGTCAGGAGAACCCAGTGCGGATCCACGAAGTCAACGCTATCCTCCGAAAGTTTCTATGTTTATGTCATTTTTGGTTCCTCTAGAAACAATAGCAGGTAGAGGAAAGGGGAGCAGCAGCACCAACAGCAGGAGCAGCAGCACAGATGCTCGGCAGGATTCGAGAGCAGCCTGACAGCCCAGCGGACGCTTCAAAACTCGAAGGCATACTGCTGGCCCGACGGGCCCGCTAGGCGTTAGATCCTGCAGTCGGGCGGGTCTGATAACGTGCTCGTTGTGTTCTCATTTCTCAATTGTGGATCCCCCCTCGGGTAACCATTGCATCTTCCAATTAAGGTGTTTCTCCCGGGGCTAGCCCCTGTTTTTTTAGACTGCGCACCTGGCCAACGGTTTACAACAACAGCGGCTCACGCCTGATACTCCTGGCAAGTTATTCCCAAATCACGTTCTTACGCGGGACTTCCTCACAATTCATATAGGAAGCGCGCTCTCGCGTGGGAGTGCCTCGCAATTTATTCAGACGCCGCGCCCTCGACACTCAGGGATCACGCTCTCGCTTTGGCAGATCTCGCGATTTACTCGGGAATAGCGCTATCGCTCGAGACTTCCTCGTGGTTCATGCAGAACGCACGCTTCAATAACCCGCCTGCTCGACCTGGCCGCCTGGGCCCGCCTTCCCGACCCGCCTGTTAGGGTCTACCCGCCCGATCTGCCCGTCTGGTTCTGCCGCGTGCATTCTGCTCTGAGCCCCCCCCTCCTGCTACTCGTCCCTCCCTCCCCCTTGTCCCTTTCTTCCATCCGGTCTCTCTTTCCCTGCCATATGGGCTGCATGAAATACACGCTGCAGGTAAACAATAAACCCCGGAGGGGCTACGATCGAGGACGAAGAATACGGATATGGGGAGTTTGGGATAGACTTGATGAGTGGCACGCGAACAGGTAAGAACGAACAGTCTTGTTGTTGATACGGTTGTTGCTATTGGTGTTGGTGTCGGTGGTGGTGGTGTTGTTGATGTCGTTGTTAGTGTTGGTAGTGATGAAATTGGTATCGGTGTTGATGTTATGGATGGTGCTGGTGCTGCAGTTGTTGGTGTTGGTGCTGCTGTTGATAGTGTTAGTTCTATTGTTGGTGTTGTTGGTGTTGTTGGTGACGTTGTTGTCGTTGTTGCTCTTAGTGTTGCAGTTGTTGCTGTTACTTTGGCTGTTGGCGTTGGTGTTGCTGCTGCTGTTATTGCTGCGGTTGTTGTTGCCGTTGTTGCCATTATTACCGTTGTCGATGTTGGTGTTGGTGTTGTTGTTGTTGCTGCTGTTGTTGATGTTGTTGTCTCGCGGGGGCGCTCCCTGGGGGGCCTCGGCAAACAAACTAAGAGGGGGGGATCATGGCGACGATCGGGGGGCTCATGAACGACAGGCCCTTCTGGGAGGCAACGCTGCCCTCAAAGTGTGCCCCAAGATTGCCTCTAAGAAGCTCCCGAATGGCCCCCCTGATTCTAAGAAGCTGGAAACACGAATGGCGGAGCTACCATGTAAAACATCAGGGGGCCACTCGCTGAATGCACAGGCGGCTGCTCAGCCTGCAAGGCCAGACGGGCCGAGCGCTGGAAGGATATCTTGCCGCATGTGTATGCAGCACTCGCCAAGGCCGGCCGCGCCATGGGCACCAACTTCATGATTGTTCGAGGTACATTATCGAACCCTCCGCAGACTTCTAAGATAGACTCTGGACGGGTGACGGGACCCTTCGGGTACCGTTCTCAAGGACCAGAGTGCTCACTGACTTGTATCCGTGCCAGGAACAAACCACGAACGAAACAAAAAGGCTCCGCAATCCACGGGGGGGCCAGGGAGGGTACCGCAAACCAGCGAAGCACAAACGAAAATTCGCCGGTAACTGTTTAACAATATTCTACTTCGCGCGCGCGTGGCGGCCCCTGGGGGTCCCCGGACGAAAAGTACCCCGGCCGATCCCCGGCGGATCCCCGGACGATCCCAGGCCAGGTCCCCCAGAAAGCTCCAGGGGAGGGCAATTTTTCGACACCCCTTACGAAGATGGTTTTCGAGGGGAGAGCCGCAATCGATCACCCCTCCTCTCGCCCCCGCGAGCTTCCCAAGAGGCTCCAAGGGCCCCCCAGGACGCCGCCGAGAGGCCTCCAAAAAGCTCCCAAGAGGGCCATAAGGGCCCCACAAGAGGCTTCAAAGTCGCTCCCATGTGCTCCCAAGATGCCCCATCCGCCCCCAAAAGCGCTCCTAAGAGGCTCCACCCGCTCCCAAGAGCCTCCGAAGAGGCTCCACGGGCCCTCAAGACGCCGCCACGGAGCCCCGAGAAGCCCTCAAGAAGCTCCCAAGAGGCCCCCAAGACGCCCACAAGAGGTCCCACAGGCTTCCAAGACGTTCCCGAGACGCCTGCCAAGATACTCCTGCGACGCCGACGTCACGTCGAGCCGAAACGGCGCACCGCCAAATCGCGAGCGAGAGTTCTTTTTGCTGCGGCCCTTATTGCCCTGGCTTCGTTAAGTCACACCCTCTCTACGCTCTACGTGTTCTCGCGCTCCCCTCAGTGGCTCGAGCGCTCCGCCGACGCAACGTCGCACCCTTCATCTTCCAGCAGTCCTTGCATTAGGGCAAGTGGGGTCTGGACGGGAGACCCGCGCGGATATTTCGAGCCCTCGGCCCCGAGAGGCCCCCAGGTGCGCCCAAGAGGCCCCCGAAAGGCTCCCAAGAGGCCCCTAGAGGCCCCCAAGAGGCCCTAAGATGCCCCCACGAGGCCCCCAGGAGGCCCCCAGGAGGCCCCCAAGCGGCCCCAGGAGGCCCCCCAAGTGCCCCCCCAAGCACGCAGGCAAGTGCCAGCGATGCTACAATATGGGCCGGCGGAATGAGCGAAGCGATTGAATCAGGATGTCAGGGCTGTAGAACGCAGCTGCGCAAGGCAAGAAGTAATCGCCAGCGCCGGCTGCGGAGGGCACTGGGGCCCCCCACCGATAGAGACAGTCTTGCCCATCCCCACGGAATTCCGCACACGTGCACGCAGGCGTGTCTAGTGGCACATGACGCCTGGCCTGACAGAGGCGCGGAGCGCTTGACGAAACACAGGCGAGGAGACGGCAACCAGCCGCATGAGGGGCGGGGGCCTGTGCCCGAACGTCATCGAGCCAAGTTCGGCACGCAGAAGTGCAACACGGGCGCCGAGTCCCGAGGACGCAGAGAGAGAGAGAGAGAAGAGAGGCAGAGACATGCTCGCCTGGGCGACGCTGTCGTCGTTGAACGCATCCAAAATTGCCGCCCGCCTGAAGTACGAGCCACCAGCAAGGCCAGTGTTCATGGCGATCTTGGTCAGCTTGAACCCTGGCTTGATCTTGCTGGCCCTCTCCTCCACGTAGGCGATCTCAGCGGGCAAGGGTGAGGCATGTGCAGAGGCAGCCTATCGGACAGGAAGTGTGCCGGCCCGACAGGCCCGGTGACAATTTCCAAGTTTACGAGGCAGCGTTTGAGGCTCTCTTCGTGCACGTCTGACGACCGCACTCGTGCGATGTGAGACGAACTGCAGCGCGCAATGAGCCCACACCCGCAGACCGTGGCGACGAAACGGGGTACAGAGCAGGGGAGGGAGAATTTGTGTAGAATGTTGACTTCCCCCGTGGTTGGGCCCGCCGGCGGCCCGGGGCCAGGGCCCCGGCGGGACGCGGCCAGTGGGCGAAGCAGCGCCAAAGGACGAGGAGGAGGAGGAGGAGAAGGAGCAGGAGGAGCAGGATGAGGAGGACGAGGTGGAACAGGAGGGGGACAGTGTAAACCCACGAAGCATCAGCGATGTTGCGATAAACCCTCCCAGATAGTGCCCTCTCCCTAGACCCCTTAAGAGAAGGCATGTTCACTGCGGGAAGTGGCCCGTGGGAAGACAAGCGTCTCAAAGTCCGCAGTCGTGCAGACACCGAGAACTGCGAGAGAAACCTCGGCCTTCATCCGCCGACCCCGTCGGCGTGTGCCAGCGGCCGCGCGAGAACCGTGCACAAAGTCCAGCTATGCCCGTGCGCTTCCAGCGCGGCCCAAGCTGCGAAGGCAAACCGTCCCAAACCAGCAGCCCGAACTGTGGGGAACAAAATCACAAAACACATTGTAGGAAAAAGCTCACACAAACACACACACACACACACGGGCGGCGGGAACTGGCCACGAGGCCAATCGAGCAAGACCTCCATCCCTCTGCCTCATAAGCAGCCCTGCCCTGCCGCACCACAAGGCGTGTCCGTGGGCTGTGCCTGGCGTTTCGCTAGAGACTTCCTTGCAAGTCAACATCCTGAGGCTTGAACAAGTACAACAATTACGAAGATGGAGGGCCAGTGTTCTCCAACATGCGACTGGTTCTCGCCGTGGCCCCGCGCGTACTGTTCTGAAGCTTACGACGGCGATTGGGGTGGAGGGGCGGTGGCCTTCAAAATGTGGCTCTCGCCGCGGCGCCGCGCGCACTCGTCTAACAATCTTCAACGTTTCCGCCACTGTGCCGTCAGCAGGAAGTGGAGTGCCTCAAGGCCCCCGATTGTGATGACAGCTACACGCATTGCAAGATTCTAAAACGCCATGTTTCACACAATTCCCATGCGTTCTGGGGGAGTCCTCATGTGGTGTTCCCGAGGCCAGATACACCAAAGACGGGCCTAGGGCCCCAACAAACAACAGTCATGGTTGTTGTCCCGTCGGTTTTGACAGGTTTTAGCGTCCTCCCCTCTTCGGACTTCAAACGTGTCAAGATTGCCCAAGAAGCCCCCAAGCACCAAGATCGCCCAAAGACAGCCAAAAAGGCCCCAAAGGCGGCCCCAATGCGGCCCAAGAGAGCTCAAGACGGCCCAAGAGGGCCCAGAGAGGGGGAACACGAACTGGAATTCCACGCCATCCGCCCCAGGACGACCCCCGAGACCGCCAGCAGGTCCCCAAGAGGCCCCCAGGGGCCCCCCGAGAGGCCCCCAGGAAGTCCCCAGAGGCCCGCAAGGGGCATCCGAGAGACCTCCAGAGAGGCCTCCGAGGACCGCCAACAAGCCCAAATACGCCCAGAAGCACAGGTCCTCGAATCTCGCTGCCTGGCCCTGCTCCCGCGAACCTCGAACCCCTCGACCCTCGATCCTCAATTTCCCCTCCTATCCCTCGATCCTCGAACCCTCGAACCCTCGAACCCTCGAACCCTCGAACCCTCGAACCCTCGAGCCCTCGAACCCTCGAGACCTCGAACCCTCGAGACCTCGAACCCTCGAACCCTCGAGCCCTCGAGCCCTCGAGCCCTCGAGCCGGCCGTCGCCCGACCCTCGAGCCTCGCACCCCCGATCCTCGACCCCCCCGCCCCTCCTGCGCCCACGGGCGGCCCCCGGGGCTCGGCCGCTGCCAACCGCGTGGCGCCCCCCGGGGCTGCGGCGGGGGCCCCGCCCCCGCCCCCCTCCCGCGTGGGCGGGCCCGCCCCGCGGGGGGGCTGGGCGGCTCGAGGGGCGGCAGGCGCCCGCTCGGCGCGGATCGCGCCGGGCTGGGCCGTATGGGCCCCGCGCCGCCGGGAGGAGCGCCAGGGGAGGGAGCGGGGGGAGCGCCAGCGGAGGGGGCGAGGGCGCTTTTCTCGGGCCCCGGCGGGCCTCGGCCGCAGGCGGGCTCCACGGCACAGCTCGTGGGGAGCGGCCCGAGGAGCAGGGCCCCTGCGCACCGCGAGGGGGCCCTCGCCTCGGCGCCTCGGAGGTCAGCCGCCCTCCGCTCCTTCCCTTCCAGCGGCGGTCGGGAACGTTTGCGCGGTGTCGCGGCGGCGGCCCTGGCGACGCGCTACGCCTTGCAAGCGGATAGCGCGTGGCTCCGCTCCGCCGCGGGGAGGGAGGCTGGGAAGAGCTCGGGACGTTCACGCCTCGGGGCGCCTGGGCAGAGGATAGCGTGCCGCACCGAAGCGTCGCAACCGGCGGAGCGGCACGCTGCCAACAAGCTTCCGACCGGACATCTCAATCGTCTTGCCTTGTGTGCAGCAGCGCGAGGGTCTCACCGAGACCGGCACTGGCCCGTTCCATCGCTGAGCGAGAAAGCCTGCCCCTCCGCCCAGCTCTCCGCGGGCCTGGCCTCGCCAAGGTTGCGGCCGGGCACGTCAATGCCTGTGCGCGCGGTGGCGCGGCGGCGCGGGTTGGCTCTGCCGACACGCCTGCCTGTGCCCATGCTCTGCGACGCGCGGCTGCCCTAGAGCGCCAACAGGGCCAATTTCGCATGAACGCGTCCTGAAGGACAGGGGTCCTTTGAGTATTCGGTGCCCTGGTGCTCTCCGCCAGCCCCGGGACCGTCAAAACTGCTCGGCATAGCAAACTGGTCCTGTGGAAGGCCTGGGGGGCTGGGGCCCGCTCCCTGCAGTCGGTGGTGCTAAGTCGTCCCCGCCCGTCCCCGGTGGGCGTTCCGTGCGCTGGCACAATGATTGCTGACAAATTGTTAAGTCGTCCCCGCTTTCCCCGATGGACATTATGCGTGCCTGCACATGGAAAGAGAATTATCCCAGTGCGACCCTACCTAGGAGTTGGAACCCCTAGGAAAGCAGCATTAGTAGTAACAGTAACGCTAAGCTAAAGCTAAGCTAAAGCTAAGCTAAAGCTAAGCTAAAGCTAAGCCACAGCTAAGCTAAAGTTAAGCTAAAGCTAAGCTAAAGCTAAGCTAAAGCTAAGCTAAAGCTAAGCTAAAGCTAAGCTAAAGCTAAGCTCAAGCTAAGCTCAAGCTAAGCTAAAGCTAAGCTAAGCTAAGCTCAAGCTAAGCTAAGCTAAGCTAAAGCTAAGCTAAAGCTAAGCTAAACGCTAAGCGAAAAGCTAAGCGAAACGCTAAGCTAAAGCTAAGCTACAGCTAAGCTAAAGCTAAAGCTAAAGCTAAAGCTAAAGCTAAAGCTAAAGCTAAAGCTAAAGCTCCCAGGGGACTGGGGGGAACCGCTCCCAGGGGACTGGGGGAACCGCCCAGGGCGATTTCCATTGCCCGGTCCCTTTAAGCTAAGAGAGTAAGAACCCTTCTAGGCAGTGCGTGCCTGCACATGGAAAGAATAATTCTAGGAAAATCAGCATGTCGCAAATTGATGAAACTGCGAATGTCTCACGGATGGCGGCTCCCTTCTCCTCATCCTCCTCCTCCTCCTCCTCATCATCATCATCATCATCATCGTCATCACCTTCCTCCTCCCCTTCTTCCTTTTTTATCCTCGTCCTCGTCCTCCTCCTCCTCCTCGCCCTCCTCCTCCTCCTCCTGCTCCTCCTGCTCTTTTTCTTTTTCTTCTTCTTCTTCGTCCTGCTCCTCCTCCTCCTCCTTCTCCTGCTCCTCCTTCTCCTCAAGCCCACGACACGCAACCCCACGTCCCCGCGACCCAGCGATCGCACGACCCCATTCATCGCAACCCCACGACCCCACAACCCCACGACCCCACCGCCCCCAAACCCCAAGACCCCAGGACCTCGCGACCCCACCACCCCACGACCCTACGGCCCCACAACCCCACGACCCCACAACCCCACGACCCCACCGCCCGAAGTTCCCACGACTGTACGACCTAACGACCCCACCGCCCCATGACCCCACGACCGAACGACTCCACGACCGAACAACCCCACGACCCTACGACCCCACGACCCCTCGACCCCGCGACCCACGACTCCACAACCCCACGACCCCACGACCCGGCCACCCCACGACCCCACAACCGCACCACCCCGCGATCCCACGACTGCTCAACCCCACGCCCAAGTGACCCCAGGACCACGCGACCCCACGACCTCGCAATTCCACGACCCCACAGCGGGACCACAGTCAACATAAACTTGCTGACGGTACTGCGCACAGAGAAAATCTTGAACATTTGGTGAGGACAATTCTACACTTTATGACGATGTCTTGTTTTACCGAGGCGCCAGCCCGGGGAAACCAGGAACGACTTAACACCAGTGACTGTAACGATCACTCTGCTTCGCTCCGCTGCGATCGATTATCGCTCGGGCTTCGGCATGGCCCGTTGATTTTTGTGCGCGGCAGTGCGATCGTTGGCACTCTGCTCGCGGTGGAAGACACGCTCACATGTGTCACCCCGCTCTGGATGGTGGCCATCGCCTGTGCATGGATGTCTGCGTGTGCTGCGTGCATTGTGTGCGATGTGCGTGCTGTGCCGCGCTGCGCTGTGCTGTGTTGTGCTGTGGCGTGTTGTGCTGTGTTGCCTGCATTGTGAGTTGTTTGTGCTGGGTTGGTGCTGAATTGATTATGTGTAGTTCGAGGTAAACGCGCCCCGTTATCTTGCATGCGCGGTTTGGAATCGGTCGCGCGCAGGAGGCGGACCAAGTATGTCTGCGTGTGTGTCTGCGTGTGTGTGTGTGTTTGTGTGTAAGCGTGGTGTGTAAGCGTATGTGTGTGTGTGTTGGTGCGCAGTGTGGCTGCATTGGGGGCTTATTGTGTGTCGAACGGTGACGCGTTAGTCTACAGTTGTCGCAAGCTCTCACTCCTTCTGGGGGGCGCGAAATGGCGTAAGCCTTCTGAGCTAGGAAAGATGAGAGGAGCACGACGAGGGGAGGGGAGGAGAAGGAACGAGGGGAGGACGAGGAGCAGGAGCGGAACGATGCAGAGGCCGAGGGAGAGAAGAGATCAACAACAGCTCGTGCGGATAACCTGGTTCACGTGGCGAGCGTCAACGACAATCGCCGATGGAAATGAAGAGATGACGATTTCCTGGGTTGCCTGAGGAACCCTGACCTTGTTGACGCAATGGAGGCGGATACAATTCGGAGCTCGTTCTATAAGATCAACCAACCCTTCCCAAACATGCCCGAACGCCAAACTAGAACCACTAGCGGAGCTGGCCAAACACGTAGCGCCACATGTCCATACTTTCGGGCGCGGAACCATGACGAGGGATACCAAAGTCCACGAGCGGAGCTTACAAACACGACGCTCCAGATTTCCATAATTTCGGGCCCAGTACCGTGGACCCGAGGGGGAACAAAGACTGCCACTGCCAGCGGAGCTGACCAAATATGACGCTCCAGAGCTTTATAGAAGCATCGGTCAACCGATCCCTATCCCCACCAGTGTGACCTGGGCCCCAGTGGCCGATTAAACCCCCCTAGATGAGGATATAGGTTGTCCCCTTCGGGTTTCGAGCGGCAGATCCCCAACTGTGGTGGTGGGATGGTGGGGATCGGCTCAACGATACTGACCATAGCTTCTTGTTCTGCCTGCTACGCCGCGGTCTCTGAGCGTCCCTGCCCCCCCGCACGGCCGCGCATTGCCGCCCTCGTCCCCTCCACCCTCTACAAGGAGCCTGCCCTGCCCGCCCTCCCGCACCCACAGGAGAAGGGAGCCCAGCGCACGCAAGGACGGTGGTTTCGGCTACGGGTCGGCACGCGCAAAGGTTTCCGACCCCGCGTCGATGGTTCAACCTCGAAGCGATCGCGGCCCCGATCGTTCAAGGTTGAATCCCGTCGGGTCCAAAGTCGTCACCGCGTCTCTCGATGCTTCCGCTTCGCCGGCGTCGCCGGCGCGCCAACGCCACACGAACCTATCGTGCACGCACGAGTGGCCCTGGACGGCTTTTTCGGGGGTGACTCGCCCCAAATGCCGGGAGAAGAGGAGCTCGCCGGCCAGCCAGAACTTGGGGGATCCTTGGCCCTCATCACCCCCCTGGAGGAGCCCGTGGCATCGTCGACCTCCCGAGAGGGGTGTCGAAGCCGATGGGTCGTCTGGGGGGACAAGGACCACAACTCCCCACAGCTGTGGCAGGTTGTGCCAAGAAAAGGGTGTGTACATACCCGCCTCCTGGGGAACCGATCTCCCTGGATCCCAACATGCGGTGGACATGGATATTCTCGAGACCCGCGGGAAGAAATGGGGGTGTGGCGGAAGGGGGAATACATGTCCACCGCCCTTCAGGGTCCAGGAAGGAAGTTGCCCCTGGCAGCGGATGTGTACAGATCCCTGCCTCGGAAGAGAGGACCTCGGCTCGCCCAGCTGTGGGCTGTTCCGCCCCAGGGGCCGAAGCTGCCCGAGCCCAGGCTGGCACACGGCCCGCCCCTTGCGTACCGAGCTCTGGGCCCGGAGGGTGCCGTCGGCGGCCTCGTGTCGATCAGATCGTCGCGGCGCCCCGGGCCCGAGATGGACCAGGCTCTGCTCTGACGAGGAGGGAGACGACGACGGGGAGGGCAAGGTCAGCCAGTAACGAATCGGGAGCCGGATGGGATCGGAACGAAGGCCAGATCGGGCCGCATCGGCACGGAGTCGAAGTGGAAGCGAATTGGCCACGCAAGGATGCACAACAGCGCCATGCAGTCGGGCGGCATCAGATCGTCGGAATATTGGAATCGAATCGGACCGAGCAGGCAAGAGTCGGTATCAGATCGGATCGATCGAGTCGAAAAAGTGCGGTCGGCAGGCACTCGCCATCTGAGCCGAGCCATGCCAGTGAGCAGACGTAGAGCGGATCGGCGTGCACGACGATCGCATTCTAGCACCCCCGCGTTGTCAAGCAGTGAGGGGGGGGTCATACATTGCCGAACAGGGAAGGTGATAATGAAGAGCACGAGGAAGAAAAGGGAGATAAAGAGGAAGGTACCTCCGTCCCTGCCTCCCTGTGTCCTCCCCATCATTTGCTCATCTGTGCATCTTCTTCGATATGCATCTTCAGTGCTCCTCTTTGCATATTCATCGATATGCAGGGCAAGCATGCACTCATGCGATCGCCATGTCTGTCTTGGCGCGAGCGTCCTCTGGCTGGCGCGCACACCATGGAAATGGATGCAGCAAGACTGGGAGGGCAGCAGCAGCAGAGGGCTGCTTGATGATAAGTTCCCCTCTTAACTTATCTTTCCCATGAGTGAATACGTAATTAGATAGACTCGACCGCTCCAGCGCCCCCTCCCTTGCAATTCCTGCGCCCGCTCTGATGATTGACCCCCTACATGCTGGTGCGGTTCCCACGCTGCGATGGACGCCTCCTGCGCGGGGCTGGAACAGGTGGGGTTGACATGTCGAGCCGGAGCGTCACTGCATCGGCGATGCATTGGGATACCATGTCAGCTGTGGAATGCAAGCGGATCGAAAGATACAACGTGGGCGCGTGGAATGCGTCAAGGTCTGGCTGTACCGTTGCAGCAATGCCAGCGCGCAGCCGAGCCGCCAAAACCTACGCCCAACACCCGACGTGAGCACGCCCTGAGCATTTCAGCGCTGACGACGACCTCTCAAGTGGAGCGCAAGTTCCTTGACGCACGCAGGGATGCTCTGGCTTGTGCATGGGCATGAGTGAGGGTGGCGCGCCCTCCAATCCCTACGACGAGCTCAGGGGACTCGAACACACTCCAATCAGTCTATTCTGGCTCGGGGCTTCCAGACTCGGCGGCCGCAGCTGCCTCCAGCGTCGTGGGTGGGCGGGTGCGTGATCGGCCCGTGGACCGTGTTATCGGGTTCCAAGTAGATGACGTACTCCGTGTTCAGGACCAATGCCGCATCGTAAAGCCGCCTTCCAAGGGCGCGACGCTACGTCGCCGCGCGCCCACCCACCACCGTCGCGGGGGAGGACAGGTAGAGGAATGTAGAGGGAAAGGGAAAGAGAGAGAGAGAGCTACGCATATCTATATATATGTATGTAAATGTATATGTCTACGTTCCCCAAACAGTGCTTGAACCTAGGGTTCCTTACTTCTCTTCTAAAGCCTGCGCGTCGGTCTGGCGGCCATGTTACCGACGTCGCGGCCCCGTCGCCGCCTCGTCGCCGCCCGACGCCTGGGGCTATATTGCTGCCGTCGCCACCCTGTCGCCGCCTTGTCGCCGCCTCGTCGCCGCCCGACGTCTGGGCCTGTGCGTCGGCCTGGCGGCTATGTTGCCGCCGTCGCCGCCCCGTCGCCGCCCGACGTCTGGGGCTGTGCGTCGGCCTGGCGGCAGTATTGCCGCCGTCGCCGCCCCGTTGTCACTTGGCAGAGACTCCGCCGCATAGACTGAACCGCGTAGAATTGACCGGAAATGTTGGTTCCACATCGATCGCACCACATAGATGACATCATTCACCACATACATAGCACCATACAGGTTGTACAAGATAGATCGCACCGCATAGACTGCGATGCAAAAGCTGCACCGTTTTGGAGTTGCACCGCCAAACAGCGCAACGTAGCTTTTACAACGTACATTGCGCAGCATCGATTGCACAACGAAGATTGCCCAACAGGGATTGCACCACATATTCTGCACAGCGTATACTGCAGCACATGAATTGCTCCACGTAGGTTGTTCCACGTAAGTCGAACCACCTAAATTGCACACCATCGACTGTTCCACGCAGATTGTACGACCTAGGCACAAGCACCTTAAACTGCACAGCATATATCACGCAACAACGATTGCACCACACAAACGGCACAACATGGACTCTCCTTCACAAACAACAATATTAGGACCGTCCCCCAAAAAACTTAACGGGTCACCTTGTTCGTATTGCAATTCACATCTGATGCTGTCCCATCGTCCATCCGAAACTTGAATGTGTACCATCCCAACAAAACCGAGAACGGTTCCCCCCTCACCCTCGGCAGAAGATGTTGTGCGCGCGCCCGATAATACAACACGTCACCAGTTGTCAAGAATCCCTGGGCGAAAAAACAAGGCGACGTGCACACGCGCGCGTCGTCGCGCGCATGCTATTTTATTGAAACAGCAAAAACCTGAAGTTTCGTAAGGAATTCAGTATCGAGTATCCCGAAGCGGGGGGAACAAGCCAGAGTTCGCCACTTGGATTTTCAAAAAAACCTGCGCTCGGGCTCTTGCGACTTGTTGACAAAACCATAGGGTTGTCAACCGCTCCTTCCAATGCTACCAAACGGGCCCCTCGCGCGCGCATGTCGAAATCGTTGAAAGAGCGTGTTCTACCGCTGCTGGCGGAAAACCGGGGGGGGTCACTAGAGGCTCCCAACCCGGGGTCACTACCGGTTCGACCCCTCCCCCCCCCCGGTCCATTATGAAAAGTGGGGGGTCACTAATTACCAGTTCGAACCCCCCACCCCCCACTCGAAAATCGCGGGGTGTCACAACTGGTTCGAACCGCCCCGCCCCCCCCCCCGCCCAGCAAACGATCCCCGCTCCTCGGGACAGTTGGACAATGGTGGGGATGCTGGGACAGTGGTGGGAACGGTGGTGGTGGGGACAGTGGTGGGGACAGTGGGGACAGTGGTGGGAACAGTGGGAACAGTGGGACAGTGGTGGGGACGGTGGTGGTGGGGACAGTGGTGTGGGGACAGTGGGAACAGTGGTGGAAACAGTGGGACACTGGAGGGTACAGTGGTGGTGAGGACAGTGGTGAGGGCGATGGCGAGGACGGCAGTGGGACAATGGGACAGAGGTACAGTGGGGACAGTAGTGGGGACAGTGGTGGGGACAGTGGGGACAGTGGTGGGAACAGTGGGACAGCTCAGTGGGACAGCGGTGCGGACAGTGGGACAGTGGACAGTGGGGACAGTGGGACAGTGGTTGGGGCCGTGGAGAAAGTGGGGAGAGTGGAACCGTGGTGGGAACAGTGGTGGGGACAGTGGGGACAGTGCGACAATGGTGGGGGCACTGGTGGGGACAGTGGGGACGGTGGCGGGGACAGTGGTGGTGAGGACAGTGGTGCTGGGGAAAGCAGTGGTGCATGTGGTGCGGACGGTGGTAGGGATCCTGGAGTCGTTTGCTGGCGGTGAGCGGGGGGGGGGAGGGTCTCGAACTGGTAGTGATCCCCCCCCTGGTTTTCTGGGGGGCGGGGGGGAGGGGTTCGAACCGGTAGTGACCCGGGGGAGAGGGGGAGGGTTCGAACCGTTGGTGACCCCACCCTGGTTTTCGAGAGGGGGAGGGGGGCGAGGGGGTTCGAACCGGTAGTGACCCCTTCGGTTTCCAGAGGGGGGGGAGAGCGGGGTTCGAACCGGTAGTGACCCCCCCGGTTTTCCGGAGGGGGGCGGGGGGGTTAAGGGGGAGAGGGGGGGGTGCCGGGAGGGAGGGGAGGGGGGGGGGGTTCGGCAGAGGGGGGCGGGGATTTTTGGAGGGGAGGGGAGACCCTCGGGTTCGGGAGGCAGAGGGGGGGGAATTTTCCACAGTAGAGCGTCGGTGGATCACGCTCTCTCAAATCATTCGAACGCCCTTGCGCGCGTGCTACCGCGAGAATGTCTATTGTAAAAGAATCGAAGTACACACGGGCGCGTCGTCGTGCGCGCATGCCGAAACCCGGCAAAAAAGGTGGGTTCCGCAAAGAATTCAAAACCGAGGGGCCCCTCAGCATTCAAAAAACAAAGCACATGGCTTCGCAACACCAGTTATCAAACAAAAACCTGCGCCCGCGCTCCTGCGAATTTCTCCGAGAACTGTAAATTGTTTTCCCCGCGATGCCATCAAGTTGTGCCACACGGGCCTCTCGCGTCACATGCCGAACTCATCCGAACGCCCTTGCGCGCGCGCTTGGGAGGCACGATCCCTGTCAAATGATACCACGCGGGCCACTCGCGCGCGTCGGCGGCGCGCGCATGTCGAACTCCTTCCAAAACCTTCATCACCGACGAGACGACATCGTGATCGTTACCGGCGGGCGTGATCAACATCGGCGCCGGAATTGGTGGGTGTGAGGATTGCGCGAGCAGTGGGCTTGACAACTTACTGCGAACATATATATATATATATAGATATAGCCCCACGTGGACCGAACCACAAGAATTGCAGCGCGCAGAACATGCAAACTATATACACACATGTATGAATGTATGCATGTATATACATATATATATATGTATGTGTGTTAGTGTAATTTGCAACACAAGGTCGCGCCATCTATATTGCGTCACGTGGAATGCACCGCACAGGTTGCATCACTTAGAATGCACGACGCAGCTCGCACGACATATATTGTACAACGCATACCGTACCACATGGATCGCACTACATAAGTTGCACCACATCTGATGCGACATAGATTGCACCACGTAGTTGCGCCAGATGGGTTGTACTACGTAGGTTGCACAAACAATAACACCGAATAGCTTGAACCACATAGGTTGCACAGCATTGGTCGCACCACATAGATTGCACCTCGTATCTTGCACCGCAACGATCCCACCACACATATGTCACAACGTAGGTTGCTTCACATAGTTTGCCCAACATAGATTCTCTTTTCGAAAAAAAATCGCCGGCCCAACGGGCCAGAGGCGTGCTAAGATCTCCGGTAACTGCTCTACAATGTTTCTACTTCGCGCGCGCGGGGCGGCCCCTGGGGGTCCCCAGACGAAAAGTACCCCGACCAGGTCCCGGCCGGTCCCCGGCAAGGTCCCCGGCAAGGTCCCCGGCAAGGTCGGGCCCCGCAAGGTCGGGCCAGAGATGCCGGAGCCCTGTTACAGGGCCCCAGGACGGGCCAAGAGGCCCCCAAGAAGCCTCCAAGACGGTCCAAGAGGGCCCCGAGACGGCCAAAGATCGCCCGAAGACGCCCAACAGGGCCCCAAGACAGCCCAAGAGGCCTCCAAGACGCCCCAAGGGCCTTCCAAGAGGCCTCCGAAGAGGGCCCCAAGAGGCCAAAATCGTTGATTTTCATTGTTTTTTTCGCTGTTTTTTGCGTTCTGGCTTTTTCGGCTTCCGGACGCTCCAAGACGGCCCAAGAGGCCCCCAAGACCGCTCCAAGACGGCCCACGAGGCTCCCAAGACGGCCCCGGAACGGCCCAGGAGGGCCCCCAAGACGGCCCAAGTGCCGCCCAAGACGGACCAAGAGGCCCCAAGACGGGCCCAAGAGGGGCTCAAGAGGGGAACCGAGAACTGAAAAATCGAGCCCTCCGCCCCAGAAGGCGCCCAGGAGGCCCCAAAAAGGCCCCAAGAGGCCCCCAAGAGGCCCCCAAGACGCCCCAAGAGGCCCAAAAGAGGCCCCAAGAGGCCCCAAAACGGCCCCCAAGAGGCCCCACAACTCGGCTAGCCCACAACTGTGCGACAATATGGGCCGGCGGAATGAGCGAAGCGATTAATAAATTCTACCGCCCCCCCCCGGACAGAAAGACCCCCGGGTTACCAATGCGAAGCACATAGGATTCTGACCCAATGTCCACCCTACATGTGAGTTCATACTATCCCAGCCAGGCTGGTATCGCCCCCCCCCGCCACCCTCTGCAAAATTAGCCTGGCGAAGGACCCAACCATATGCAGCTGCGAGTACCGCACGGATATGAGACGAAGGAGGGGGCACGCAAACTAGGCCCCTCTTCTCAGAGGCACCGCGCCACTGGGGCCTTCGGTGGAGCTCCCTATGGGGCCACGAAACGTGTGAAGGGTGTGCCGAAATGGGTGGTGGGGAGGCATGCGGACCCTGCCACTGGGGCCTTCGGTGGAGCTCCCTATGGGGCCACGAAACGTGTGAGGGGTGTGCCGAAATGAATGGTGGGGAGGCGTGCGAACGCAGCCACTGGGGCCTTCGGTGGAGCTCCCTATGGGGCCACGAAAAGTGTGAGGGGTGTGCCGAAATGGGTG